ACAGCTGAGGCCACAAGATGGATTTCAAGGTAAAACCAATGCAAATCCCACCAAAATGTAACACTAAAGACAACCTGCACGTTCAAACCCACACCCGGAAATTCTGACCAAAAGTGGAGTTCACAGAGCTGGAGCCTGGCCAGAAAAAAGAAAAGAAGAATATCAAACAGCCTTTGCCCTGGAATGAAGCTACTGAGAAAAACATATTAAGAAAAAGAATGTGATTTTCTAGTATTGCCTCAGAGCTGATTTATTCCTGATATAAAACTAAACTTCGCAGTGATATGTACTTTTTTCATGCATTATTCTAGGTGGCAGTGTAAATCAACTGAGAATGCAGTCAGTAAAGTCATTATTGCCAGCTCTAAAAATCCTCCACTATAGAAGAGATTCAAAGAATTATTAATATTTCCTAGATTCATGTGTGCTGTGCTTGAGGAGGCACTCACAGGGAGGGCTTGAAAGTCAAAACAGAGCCATTGTATGGGTGAGAATAGCCCAAAAACTGGGGATGGAGATTCCCCTTCGCTGTGATGATTTTTCCCTGTGGGTTTGTGCCATTTAAAAATGGTGAGGAGCGTCACTTTGCCAGTGCTGGAGCATCCTGGTGGGAAAGAAACCCTGTCCTGGTGGGAAATTCTGTCCTGGTGGGAAACCTTGTCCTGGTGGGAAACCTTGTCCTGGTGGGAAATTCTGTCCTGGTGGGAAACCTTATCCTGGTCCAGCCCTGCCAGCCCCACAGAACTCCCCGTGTCACACAAAGGAAAGTGGGGTGTTTTCTAAACACCGGGAGTGACCTGTTTGATTAAGGCAAATTAAATTCACATCCCACCCGGGGGATATTTCAGCGCTGCCGAGGAGCTGCTGCTGCTCCCCCTCTCCCGGTGGCGGAGGCGATTCCCGGTGGGAAGCTCTGGGGTTCCCAGGTCCCCCCTCCTCCTCCTCCTCCTCTCACCCCCCTCCCGGCTGGTGCTCGTGGTGATTTCCTCGCCGTCAGGTGCTGCCTGGTTACCATCCCAGCAGCTCCATCATCATCATCTCCTCCTCCTCCTCGGAGCGGGCTCTAATCCCCGCACACGGAGCCGGGCGGGAGCGGCGGCCGACAGGAGTTGCTTTGTTGGTGCTGACTTGGGTAAGCGAAAAATCTCCTTTCCTTGAGAGCCATTTGCTTTTCCTCTCAGCCTGCTCCGGGCGCTGAAGCGGGTGGGGATTCCTGCTAACCTGCCTTTTTTTTTTTTTTTTTTAAAGATGAATTTTATCTCGTAAGGGGAGTTCTCTGTGCAGGCAGAATCCTCCAGCACTCGGGTTGTATTTAGCATTTCATAGAAAGCTGCCTCTGGCATTTTACTTCCCAAGTATCTGATGGAACCTGGAATATTTCTAATTAAAATCGATCTTTTGCAAGTGTCCATCTTTAAGTACTAAGTTAAAGCACTGCTTTCGAATCGGTGGAGTGGAGGGGGGAACAGAAGGTGTTTGAGGTGGGTTTGTTTTTCATGGCGAGCTCCTGTGTCCAATTTCTTGTTCTTTTGTCCCTGAACACAGAGGCTGCCCTGGCACTTCATTCATTCACATGCAGATTGCTTGCTTCCGTGTATTTTTTTTTTTTTAAATCAAAGCCCTTTGAGTTTATAATCTCCTTTTTTTTTTTCCCTGTAAACTTCTAATTCCAAAGGCAAACCCATGAAAGCTGCATGTCTCTTCCCCCCTCCACATGTAACTTTGTCACGAGACTATTAATCATGCCTTACAATAATTTTGCTAATGCAGTACATCCATTCAGAAGCAGTGGCTGCCTGCAGATGGATTTGCTACTGTGGAAGCAGAACAAATTTCCTCAGGAAATATTTAAGCAAGGTCATAATAACATTCATTACACTCTGATGTGTCGTGCTGGATCAGAGTAGAGCAGCAGCCACGTTTGTTGACTTAGGCTGTAGAAGAGCCCCAAAGGTTATACATTAATGTAAATACTGTTTATTACTTTATATATATATATATAAACTCATCAGATTGAAGCCCATATGCTGCTTAATTTGTTCTGATGGGGAAGAGGGAAGCTGAACAAATGAAAGCAATGTTATCTACTTCATTTTCAGCTCTAAAGGTTTTCACCTGCCTTCGTTAATGAGCTTTGCAATCTTATTATGCAACCTTAACACTCTGGTGGGATTGCTCTGCCCAGGGGTGAAGGGGCAACACAAACACTTGTTTAGAGCAGGTGTTTAAAATAATGTGTATTTTGGGTGCACTTTGTGTGTGCATCCCACTTTTGGGGCTGGAATGCCCGCTGAGCTGGGGGTGAGGTGCACATGGAGGGGGTGTCAGGATGGAGCTGACAAGTGAAGGAGGGGCAGGATGGGCACATCACCTGGCAGGAAAACCTGCCAGTGCCAGCACAAAGTCTGTTTGCCCAACTGTTGTTATGTTTTCTATTCCTGTGGGAAGTAAAGTTTCTTCAAGCAAGTGAGTAAATATGATAATAAATCCTATTTACCTGCGTGCTGTGTCCCAACAGCAAGAAAGGGATTGGAAAGGTGAGGCCCTGGCACAGGTTGCCCAGAGAAGCTGTGGCTGCCCCTGGAAGTGTCCAAGGCCAGGTTGGACAGGGCTTGGAGCAACCTGGGCTAGTGGAAGGTGTCCCTGCCCATGGCAGAGGGTGGAATGAGATGAGCTTTAAGTTTCCTTCCACCCCAAACCATTCTGGGATTCTGTGGTTGTTGGGCCAGAGCTTGAATAAATAACAAAGCCCAGACAACAAAGACATCAAACATTGCATTCTCACCAACTTCTGTGAAGTGCAACAGGTGACTTAACCAGATTGAGAGACAAAGACAAGCTCTTGGAGCACCAGGGAAGTCACAGGTCTCTTAATCCCATAATCCCAGCTGGATTGAGAGGTTGCTGTGTCCTGCCCCAAATCCCTTTGCAAATACTTTCCCTTGTATCAAAAGAGGAACAAAAAACCTTGAAAAGGATGTGATCCAACGCAAGGAGGAAGGTGGGCAAGTGTTCATCACCTGAGCCCATATGGAATCCCAGGGTGGTTTGGGTTGCAAGGGACCTTAAACATCCTCCACTTCCACCCCCTTCCCCCTGCCATCTGCAGCTTTACATTGGAGGTAATTCAAACCTTCCATTATTTTGCTCTCAAAACAGCCCCACTCACTCCCCTTTTCCTGCAGAAAGGGGAGAGGAGGCAGGAAATGACTTGCTGATGATGGCACAGAAAAACTGAGAGAGCAGGAAATCAGCTCCACGTGCTGGGAGTCAGAGCTGCTCATCCAGCCCAGCAAAGCAAATGCCACACACACAGAGTGACAGCAGGAGGAACTATGGGATGAGCAGATGATTCACAGGAGATTAAAGAAAACATGATACCACCTTCCTTCAGAACCAAAATCCGTTTGAAAACAAGGAACTTGTGGATTTCCCGAGGAATTAAACAGATTGATAAGGGAGCAGAGCTTAAATGAGCAAATATTGGGCAAGTTTGACACTTGGGTGTGAATTTATAGAGGTTCCAGTGTACATGGCCCCCCTGTCACCTCCCATGGGGGGGACACAGTCACCTGTGCCCAGCCCAACCTCCCCACGAGGGGCTTCTCTGCCCTGTGCCCCTCCTGGGCTGCCCCACAGAGCTTGTGCCAACCAGGATGTGCTTCCATGCACAGGAACAGAGCCCAAAATGCCATTTGTCCCCAGGGCCAGGCTGACCTACTTGGTTTTTTTTTTCTTTTTTTCACTTCATAATCTTTGTTTGGCAGCAGGCTGGGAGAGAAATGGAGGGGTCATTTCTCTCGCTGCCATCACACATTTGGTATTTATTTCAAGTGGATAAAACTCACCTTTCACCACCAGCTGAATGTCTCTGCCAGAAAATCCTCTTTTCGTGATATTCCACATCTGTAGATTAGGGATGGGTGGGTGACTGCAAAGAAAACATCGTTTAGGGGCTCAAAATAATTGGCAGGAAGGTTTCTACTAATTGATCAGCACTGTTGTCAAGGACTTTTGACCTTCACTGATTCCAAACAACAAGATAAGTTTGGTTTTTTGGGGGAATTGTATTTTTAGGAGTTACACATGCATCAGAAACTAGAAGGTAAATAAAGGCCAAGTGGCCTTTGGTGATTTTATGGACTGGAGCCTTCAACTGTTTACAATGGAGTCAATTTTGTTTTCAGTAATGTTAAATTAACCTTTAAAAATTGTGTCAAGGAGCTGAAAACCCCAAAAAGGTGCTAATTAAGGAGATAAAGTAGGTTCAGGAGGAATTCAATACCTAAACTGCCTGTCATGACAAAAGATCCTTCAGCTGTTTCTCTGCTTTAATATTTCTGCCTTTCCCAAACGTTTATTTATCCGTGAAAGCTCCTGCTTTGTCTTCTGAAGGCTCAGCTGTGTCCCACAGCTTTTGGGCAGCCCTTCCTGCTCTGGGAATTGGGATGTTCCGTGTCCCAAGGGATGTTCCATGTCCCAAGGGATGCTCCATGTCCCAGGGGATGCTCCCCATGCCCAGGGTGCTGCTGGCAGCCCCCCAAACCCCTGCTGCCTGGAGATATTTTCAGTGCATTTCTTTAACATCCTGATAGTGAGGACAAGCCACTTTAACATGTATTTTTTTTTCTAGTCTCAGGGGCTTCTTTCTCACCTTCTAGTCATTAGCCCTGATCTCATTAGGGGTGCTTAGAGGTTTGTGTAACCTTTCACACCTCCCAGCCCTCCTTCAAGCTCTAATTCTCTCGGTGCTCCCCATGCCCACAGCTCCCCTGGGTTCCAGCAGAGCTGCCTGGCCTGGCTCTGAAGAGATTAGAGCTGGGGGGGGACTGGGACATCCCCAAGGTCACACTGCCACCAGCAGCAGCCAGGGTTTCAGGGGTGGGGATCACCCAGAGCCTGCACTCACACAGGTTTGCTGCAGTTACACCCTCCAACGCTGGTGACACCCACTCAAACACCTCTTGCAGAGCTGGGGAGGCTCCAGGAAGCTGCATTTTTGGTGGGCTGCTCCCATCACTGCTCTCAGGGCACCCAGAGCTGGGCTCTCCTTCGTGGCACCACAGAGGAGAGGGGAAGGTTGTGACTCAGAGCAAAGGCAATCTGTCAGTGAACAAAAAATCAGAGATGTCAGCAGCACAAACTGTGTGAGACACGTCAACAAAAGGTTTTCTATCAAATCCCCTCCCTGCTGTCGTGATCTCTTCGAACTATTTATTATTTGAGCAGTAAAACCGTTCCACCATCACCCACCCCCATGGCTGGTTGTACATAACTCATAATCCATCAGGTTTGGGGATGTTTCAGTTAAAATTAGCCACTGTTCAGCAGGGCTTTTTTAGCCACTAAATGTGAAGCACAATGTAAACATTTGTATTTGCCAACATGCTCCAAATGAGTACAGTGACAAGAGAGAGTTACCATATGGTCACCAGCTCCTCCCCAGCTGATCCTCTCTTCCATCCCTTGCAGTGGGACATAACACCAGGGACATGGGCAGCACAAACACTTCATGGAATCACAGGATGTTTGAGGTTGGAAGGGACACTAAAGATAATTTTGTTCCATCCCTTCTACACCTTCTACTAGACCAGGTTGCTCCAATCTGGCCTTGGACACTTCCAGGGGTGGGGCAAGCTGTGAGCAGCAAGAGCAGCACAAAATTTCACCTGCTTGAAAAGCCAGACTCCTCTGGCCCAGCATCCTAAATCCAGCTTGTTCTTCATGTAGCACAAGCCATGGCAGTCACCTCTCCTCCTCCTCCTCTTCCTCACAGCGTTCCCTGCTTCCACTCTGGAGGAGATGGGTCGCAAGGAAGAGGATGACAGCAGCTCCTGGAAGAAGCAGACGAGCAACATCCGAAAAACCTTCATTTTCATGGAGGCCCTGGGATCGTGAGTACCACAGCTGCTCCCAGGGCAGGGAATCCTCCAGATCCCACCTTCCCAGCCCGGGGCAGTGACTCCCTTGCTGGCACTGGCTCCCTCTGAGACAGTCCCTGCTCTCAGGTGAGGGTGGGTGCCCATCCTGCTGCAGGGGTGCTGCTGGTACTCGTGTGCCATGAAGCACCAAAAACAGCTCCTTCCCACCCAGCCCCAGGCACAGCTCCAGTTCCTCTCTGCCCTTCCCTCCATCCCCTCTAAGATTGCATGGAACCTCAGCTGAATAAGTTCTAGGTCTGTTCCTGCTGAGGAATATCACAACAAGTCGTATATTTAGCTCAGAAACCCTGACTCAGCCGGGGGATGAAACAAAAACAAGGATGTTGGAGTCCTACAATCCTTCCCTGTGAGTTCACAGCTTCATTTGCCTATTCATGGGGATGAGACAAGAAAACATTTCCAAGGTGGTGGAGGAGGAATTGAATTACCTCCACCGGCGGGTTCTGTCATGGAAAAATGTTCAGTGACTTCAGAGCCCACAACAAAGCTCCCAAAAAAACAGCCACACCAGAGCTGGGTGATGTTTTGATTGTGTCCCTCAGCAGCCCCAGAAATTAGTGAAATTATCCAGCAGCTTTCACTGAAGGAATGAGGTTAGAAAGAGCTTTGTTCTCTCCTAGCCAACTTGTTGATTCATCATTTTTTAATAAGGGGCATAATTATTATAAACTGTTTGGGACAGATACATAGAACAGATGCCCCAGCAGCTGATTTGTAGGTTGTTCATTTCCTACTATTACATTAATAGGAAAATTTAGCATTAGAAATTGAGATTTTTTTTTTTTCCACGTGCACTACTTCAGCTCGCTGAAGAATTGAAATGAAGATCTGGGACCTAAAACCAGCTCAAAACTTGTTATCACCTTCCAGCAGCACGGCCAGCTGCCTTAGGGACCCTGCAAGGATGTGCCTGCCTATCCCCCAGGAGCTCTCAGGAATGTGAAAGGCATATCCACGAAACAGCCTGCACAGTTTATGTGGCTAAAGGGGCAAAAATGTGTAAAATGAGAGGAAAGTCCCAACACCACCTGCTTTTTGGGCCAGAAGAGAGAAGACAGTTACATATAATTTACTAAGCGAGATTAAGAGTTTATTTGTTGGGATGGCTTCCCAAAAATCTATGGGTTGTTTTTTTTTTGTTTGGGGGATGTTTTTTTGGGTGATTTGGGGGTTTTTTTCCCTTTCTAGGGACCAGTCCTGGCACAGCAAGTCCTCAGGGTCTTGCACAGGCATTCCTTGTAAGTGGATTACAGGGGACACGGGACTTGTGCCCTGGTTTATTTGGTTTGCTACACCAGCATCCCCACCAAGAGGTGCTTTCACATCACTCAACCCCCTCTCCTTGTAGGGCTTTGCAGGCTCAGGGGTAAGTTCCATTTAATGACCATCAATTAATCTGTTGCTCATTTGACGAGGATTATTGAGGACTGACCTGGCAAAATGTGCACTGTCACTGCCCTGAGCCACGTGCTCAGCTCCCTGAGACAAACCTTTAACAGGATTGGGAGCTTTAGGCATGTTATAAATACCTGCTCAGGGCTGCCCTGGGCTGACCCCTGCCCAGGGGGGTACAGGACACTCACTGTCACTTTGTCACTAAGGGTACACGGGTATTTGCAGGCTCTTCAGGTAGGAAAACACAGCAGATGCTGAAATAAAATATGAACTCATATATAACTGATAAATAACCCTAGTATTTTGCATTTTAGACATACAGAGGGTTGGGTGATAACACCCAAACTGCAACATCACTGGGCTGCTTCCACTCAGCTTTCTCAGTCCTCAGGGCAGTGCTGAGCAGGGAAAGGGCAGGAATACCCAAAGACTGTGGGGGTTTTGAAGGAACATGATTTTAGAGTGGAATTTGGCCCCATTAGAGCAGAGGCTATTGAGATCTTCCCACAGGGGTTTAACCCCAGTGAGCACCCAAGCTCCAGATTGCTCCATCTCAGGAAGGTTATGGATACAGCCCCTCCCTGAGCTTGTGCTTAGCCCAGGAAAATCCCCCCAGTCCCAAGGGATTCCAGTGCAAAGGTTCCTTGAAGGCAGAGAGCTGTGAGCCCAGGGATGTGCTGAAAACCCTGTTTGCCCTCTGCCTCCCTGGAGCCCAAGTTCACCCACAGCCAGGCCCCTGCAGGACTAAAACACTTCAGTGTCTTCCCAGGCAGTCCTGAAGAAGCTGCTTTAATTTCATCTTTTTTTGCCCACTGCCTCAAAACAGCTTCATGGCCAACTATGCAAAAATAACCTTTTCTCTACAGAGAAAACTTGGGGGTTTATCTCCATATTGCATAATCCTACCTTGGATATCCTGAGTTTGGGGCTGCTGGAGACACAGTTGTAGCTTTATAATCAGCATCCACTTAAATTACTCCCATGTTGTTTTTTCTTGCCATTCCTTCTCTCTGTAAGTGCCCTCCCAGTTCCCAGCTTCTACTGAAACACAACTTCTCCTCCTCTCTGCAGAGGTGCCTTCTCAGAAGTTTTCCTGGTGAAGCAGAAAAGCACTGGCAAGCTCTTTGCTCTGAAATGCATCAAGAAGTCTCCCCTCACCAGGGACAGCAGCTTGGAGAACGAAATAGCAGTGCTGAAAAAGTGAGTGGTGGTGTGGTGCAAAGTAGAACAAATGTCCTTTCCCAAGATCACAGAATATTTAGGGTTGGAAGGGACCTCTGGAGATGATCTTGTCCAACCCCTAAAAAAAGAAGTGTGGCTCTACAGGAAGAATAATATGAGGAAATTAGTATTTATTTTTAAAGAATATATAAATATCAGTTTGAATTGGGAAATTAGTAAAGTTTCTTCTCTCATTCCTCAGCTGGGTTTGTAACCTCAACACAGCCACACTGACCCAGAGCTGGGGAAGGAAACCATGGAATGGTTTGGGATGGGAAGGGACCTTAAAGCTCAGAATCTCTATCTTCTGGTAAGCTAAAAATAACATTTGAGGAACTTCCCATGGGCAGGGACAACTTCCATTAGAGCAGGTTGCTCCAAGCTCCGTCCAGCCTGGCCTTAGACTCTTCCAGGGATGGGGCATAATAGAAATAAATGAAGTAGAGCAGCAGACAGGGAAAAGGGAACCAGAGCAGATGTTTTTGCAGTCCAAGGAAATCTTCTGCTGTAGGTGTTTAAAAACAAAGGCTCTGGTCCCCAGCTGTTGGTGCCTGGTACTCATAAAAGAATTGGTAGGGGCATCAATGGTCCTCTGCCACTCAGGGGAAGGGAGATCAGCCACAAAACACCCCAGTGGACTTCCACTGGTGATTGAAGCAGGATGACTGTTGGGTTTTCCACTTCAAAAGCCACTTCTGTCCTCGCCAGGTTGGTTTCTGACCCACCTTTATCTTTGCAGGATAAAGCACGAAAACATCGTGACCTTAGAAGATATTTATGAGAGCACAACCCACTTCTACCTGGTCATGCAGCTGTAAGTATGAGCAGAGCCACTTCTTTGTGAGTCACAGAGGAACCACAAAGACTGGCAGGACCAGGGTGATGCCTCATATTTCCCACTGGAGCCCCTCACAGGGACCATTCAAACCCCCCTCACTGCGAGGGCTGCGCGGTTGGAACCAACCTGGCCACTTCTCCTGCTGCCTTGGCCCACCCCTTGTTTTAGCAGCAGGTTTTCTAAACCATGATTTGGAGCTATTTATGCAAATTAATTCATCACAGTTTAGCAGGGCAGAGACAGAAGTATTTCTAATTAAAGCTGTGCAGGGTTTCTAGAAATGAATATGGGCACTGTGTCAGCGGCAGAGAAAGTGCTGTGAGCACCCAAATCTGAGCAAATTTAGCTAAAGGAAGCAAAAAACTATATCCATTCTGTGGTGGAGCCTGGAGTAGGGCTGGATAGCTGTGGCTCAGTCCTACCAGGACTTTCCTCACAACTTTACCCAAATTCCCCTGGTTTACCAGCACTCCTTACAGGAGCATCCATCAGCTCAGCCTCACAAGAACTGCTGCCCAAGGAATGGTTCTGCTGTAGGTGGAGCTGTGAAAGGACCAGAAAGTCGGCTTGCCTAACACAAAAGCCTGATTCATTTTGTTTAAATTTTTTTTTTCCCGAATTGCCTTTTCCCACAGGGTGTCTGGGGGAGAGCTCTTCGATCGGATTTTGGAGCGAGGTGTTTACACCGAGAAAGATGCAAGTCTGGTGATCCACCAGGTGCTGACAGCAGTGAAATACCTGCATGAGAATGGGATAGTTCACCGAGACCTGAAGGTGAGACCTGGCCCTCAGCAGCACCTCAGGGAGCTGCCCTGGCTGCCAACTCCACCTGCTCTGCCCCAGGACTTCCTGCTCTCCCTTTGCCATTTTTCTGCCACAGATTTCAACCTCTGACCACTCTTTCACAGCCTGAAAACCTTCTTTACCTGACTCCTGAAGAGAACTCCAAAATCATGATCACGGATTTCGGCTTGTCTAAAATGGAGCAGAACGGCATCATGTCCACGGCCTGTGGGACTCCAGGATATGTGGGTAAGCCAAGGATCAGGAATGGGCTTGTGCTGGTGGATTGTCTGGAAAAAAGGCCATGCATTGCCTAGAAAAAAGGGAAAAAAAATAAATACATAATTATGTTAATAACAACGTGCTGCTCACAAATGCACTGCATGGACCACGTACAGGCTGGATTAAAAGCGAGTGTGGAGACTGAAAAATCTCAGCATGCTTAAAAATGCAAAGAAAAGGATCATTTTAGGAGCTCTATATTTATTGAATTGTCATAAAAACAACTGAAATGCAATGGGGTTGTGTTAAATGCCCACCAGAATGCACTGCCTGGACCCACAGCTCCCTGGTCAAACCTCAGGGTACAGGCAGAGGTCCTGGTTCTTTCTGTCTAATGGCATAAAATAGATACAGATAGCACAGACCAATTTAGCTGGTAAACGCTGCTGTTAGCAGCTGATCTCTGCACTGGCACCTCAGAGGCCAAGTGTACCAGGAACTGCTGCTTTTCCCAGTACTGGAGAACTCATTATTGCTCAGAATTCCCACGTGGTTTTGCTGTTCCGCAGCCCCCGAGGTCCTTGCCCAGAAGCCCTACAGCAAAGCCGTGGACTGCTGGTCCATTGGAGTCATCACTTACATCCTGTGAGTAGCAGCAAGCAGCATCCCACTTGTTTTTCCATGAGTTTTTCCCAGCTCCTCGCTGCTCACCCGCCCCGGTGGAGCAGCAGCGTGAGTGGGGGCGATGCTGGACCTGCCTCGTGTGGAGCACAGGTTCAGCAGGCACAGAAATGAAAGGCATGTGGGTAATCAAGTACAGGAGAAGAGATGAAAAGAATCACATTTTCCCCCATTATGTGCCTCATCCTATGCTTTGTTTTTTTTACCCGTTGCCTACAAATACCATTCAATCTTCCCTGGTACTTTTTGTTTCCTCCCACACCACTCA